TTTCTTTTTGTATAAAAACTTTATGAAAATTGATATTTTTTGTGCAGGCTTTGTAGCGGGTTTAATGTAGTTTCTGAATATGTAAATTTTATTTACTAAAAATAATCCGAGTTTTCACAGGGATCATTTAACTTTATCGTCGGTCAACCTTCGTAATCCGCAATCGGAAGAACATTCAGGGACGGAGGGAGTATTATATATGTGTATATATATATATATATATATATATATATATATATATATATATATATATATAGGTTCAAATGAGAATACTATCTAGGGAGAGAAATAAGAATATCTAGGGAGAGAAATAAGAATGAACCACAACCTTTGGATTGACTCTAATTTTTAAATTTCGTTTTTCTTTCTAAAGGGGTAAATTAGATATTGTCATTTCTCTTTCAATGCATTAATTTATTAGTAATCCGTTCAAGTAGGTAGTTAGTCGTAGTAGTAATGCTCTTTCCTTATTAGTGTCATACGTACTTTTTAAATATGCATATTTTTAAGGTCTAGTTCCTTAATATAAATAAAATCAAAATTATAACATCCTGCTTTCTTTTTTTACTTTTTATTTCTTTATTCAGGCTATACATGCAATTTATTTGTATGCTTTTAACTAATGTAATAATGCACTTTTAATGTATTCTTTTTTCCTATATCGTGAATATCATGAATATGTTTATGATTCTTTGATTGTTCTAATTGTGTTCTATTAGTTCTCAATATTTGCATGCATTACATATTTTATAATTAACATGGACAGTTTTACATATTTGTGTAAAAGTGCACTTCTACTAATTAAGAGGTGCATTTTACATACTGTACTATTGTCGCTAGGGTACTGTTCTACTAGAACAATGGCACTCTTAGTAACTAACCGGTGCACTTTTGCATAATTGATCGCAAATCATGATAATATTCTTCTTGAAGAATTTCACTTTTGCTAACTAATAAATGCACTTTAGCATAATTTTATCCTAATAATGATATATGATAATGTTTCACGAAAATATTTATGCAAAGTTTTGATGCACTTTGAAAAGTTTCACAAAAATGAAATAATGTTTCACGAAATATTTATGCAAAGTTTTGATGCACTTTGAAAAGTTTCAAACTGCACATGTACATTAACATGCAATTTTGATGAACTTTGGAACGTTTCACTAATTTAATTAAGTAAACTCTTAGATTAAATATAATGCACTAACATGGTAAAGTAGGTGCACTTCTACTTCGTGAGCTAATATGAAATTTGTGCTAGTCTATAAAATCTTATAAACACCAATGAAAGTTAGGGTATTTTTGATATATTAAAAGTGTTGGTGTAACACTAGAGCAATATAGAATTGTACACTATGTTTTAGCGATTGTACCATTTATTTTTACTCCTATTTCTTACTTAACTCCGTTAATCCAAATGTAGAAGCCATTGAATGCATTCATTTTTTGTGTTGTACTCTTTTTAAATGCCTTTTGGTTTCCTTGCATTTATTTAATTGCATTTTTTTACATTTAATCCTTCTATATAATAGAAAAATCATTTCATCCCTCCATTGATAATTATGAGGACAAGTGTCAAATTATATAACATACCTGGTATATGTGGATCTGCATAGTACCAAATTTGGTATATGTGGTACTTAATTTTTGTCAATTTTAACTTTTTCTATTTCTTTAATTTGATATGTTCTACTATATAAATATTCTTGGAGTATCTTTACTATATGTAATTTGAATGATTTCTTTACTATATGTCATTTGGATTATTTATACTCCCTCCGTATTTTTTTGTTTGCTACAATAGGTGTTGGCACATTTTTTAAGAGTGAAATAGTAAATGTAATGAATATTGTGGAAAAAGTAGGAGAGATGGTAGAAAAGAATGAAAAAGAAGATAACAAGCATAAAAAGTAAGGATAGTTGAGTATTTTTAAAGGAAAAACTTACAAAAAAAGGAAAGTGTGGCAAAATTTTGAATCCATCCGAAAAAGGAAAGTGTAGCAAACATAAAATACAGAGGGAGTAGTAATTAAGATTCAGCTCCTCCTAAAGTTTGTATTTATGAATATATTATTACTCTTGAGTTTTCTCTAAAAATGAAGTTTTATAAGAGGATTTTCTTTCAATATTACAGAAATATAAGTATATAACTAATGGACAAAAATATTACTATAGTCACTATACATAATTACTATAATGATAAAGTTGAACACAATCATTGTCGCTAAAGTTACTCTGATAGTCTTACTTTTCACCTAGGGTTCACTTTTATTTGAATCAATCCATGCATGTCTTTATTCATATGTTTTTCTTATAGCGATTGTCACTTTTTCTCACAAAAGAGACGTATGCCATCTCTTTTTAACAATTTGATAACTATGCTTTTTATACATAACAATTGTTTAATTCCAAACATCTCAATTATACTAAAAATAAAATTTAATGCTAGTGGCGCCATTGAAATAATATTGGGCATCCTCCACTCGCGCAATGCGCGTAATATAACTAGTTCTTTATATATATGCGAGGATGGTTGAAAATGTAAAGCTTTAATATAGAGTAATAATTGCTAATGGAAATTATTTTGGATTGATTGGATTCTACAATATTGGGTGCATTCACGCACACTAATAAGCCAAATATTTCCATGGGAATATACAAGAATACCCCTCCTTGATATGATAATTGAATGTGCATTTATTAACACTTAATACTTTCCTTTTAAAAAACAGTATAGGACGTAAACTTAATTTAGTTTTCAGCCGTTAGATTTGTGATATCAATGACTCTAATTTATTCTCATTTCTCTCCTAATAGGTCTTTCTCACTGGAACCAATCCATATATATATATATATATATATATATATATATATATATATATATATATATATATATGGTGTGGTTCCAATGAGAACGTTGCTTAATGTGAGAACGTGAAAATAGTCACATTTAAATCAATGTGGTGCACAATGGAACTCCTTTGTTGCACATTTTTAACTTTGCTCAAATTAAGCCAATATTAAATAACATGGTGGCATTTTGGAAATATTATGAAAATTTGAAAAAATACAATAGACGGGTTTCATAGTGCATCACGTTGGATATTATGTTCTACTGATAAGCCTTGTTCTTATTTGATCCGGAATCCATATAGTGTGTGTGTTCAAATAAGAAGGCTATCCTCCCGTGGAGCATCAGACTTAAGATCCAAAAACTAAAAATATGGTGTCACCTAATACAGTATACAATACTTTGCAAGGAGTAAAAAAATAGAGTTACTAGTTTTGCAATGTTTTTTGTTGATGTACATATGTCTTACATTGGTGTGATATTAAATACTCTGATACTTTCTCCATTCCAAATAACGGTCTCATTACCTTATCGGCCTCTTTCAAATTAATTGTCACTATCTCTTTTTCAGAAAATAATCTATGCCATAGGTAGTTGCGTATTGTGGAAATCACTTTGGAGTGGAGGGAGTATATCAGTATTTAAGACACGAAATACTCCTGCTCGTATCAGAATAACTCTTTAGAATGGAACTCAATCTTAATAGTTTTGGCGTTAGGTTTTGCCTACCTAAAAGAGTGAATTTTCTAGGTGTACTGAGTTATCGCCTGAAAGAGTTCGCCCGGCACTTATGAGCACTCTTGGGGAGCTGCAACTCGACTATCTTGATCTTTATCTGGTAATTCATATATTTGAACAAATTTGTACTATGGTATTTTATGTGTTTCTAATGATGGGAAATGTGGTTTGGTTGGATAGATTCACTGGCCATTCCGCCTGAAGGAGGGAGCTAGCAGGCCTCCAAAAGCTGGTGAAGTCTCTGAGTTTGACATTGAAGGAGTTTGGAGAGAAATGGAGAAGCTAGTGCCAGACAAGCTAGTCAGAGATATTGGGGTTTGCAATTTCACAGTCAAGAAGCTCCATAAACTACTAAATGCTGCCAAGATAAAGCCTAGTGTTTGCCAGATGGAGATGCACCCTGGGTGGAGGAACAACAAAATGTTGGCCGCTAGCAAGCAGAACAACATACATGTGACGGTACTAACGTGCATTTCTCGAAGTATTTGTCCCACACTGATTTAGTATAACGTAATTTATGACTTGAGTTACTTATCAGGTTTACCTTTTCGGGTGGAACATCATGTCTGATGTTTTTATTATTACTTTGATGTTTCTTTAACTAATATTTTGATTCAGACCTGACATTATGATTAGAAAATAATCTGTCTCGATTATTTATAATTTAAATAACTTGTAAGCATTAATCAGTTCTGCATTTGGGGCATGTTACTGTTAGGCATATTCACCTCTAGGCTCATATGAAAGGGATCTTGTGCATGACCCTGTTGTGGACAAGGTGGCAAAGAAACTGAACAAGAGCCCTGGCCAAGTTCTTGTCAAGTGGGCTATTCAAAGAGGAACCAATACCATTCCCAAATCAAATATATCATGCTGATAGGATCAAAGAGAACATAAGTGTTTTCGAATGGGAATTACCCAAGGAAGATTTTGAAGCTCTTTCTAGCATCACTGATCAGGTATCATGGCTCTCATCTTTTAATTGGATGTCTGTTTGCTCTTTTTATCCCGAAAGGGGATGACTTGACATATCCGTGATGAATGATCTCTATCGAGTTTCAGAGACGGGTGCTGGATGGGGAAGATCTATTTGTGAACAAGACAGATGGTCCTTTTAAGAGTGTTGCAGATTTATGGGATCATGAAGATTAACTTTTGTTACATAATACATCTATGTTTTATATGAATAAAATAAATTCAGGCAGTTCAGCCTCTGTAATAAATGCTTATAAATAAGACGACTTGAAGAAACTTTGCAAAACTCTTTCTACCAATTCTAGAAAAAAGTTGCTTGATTCTTGCTATTCTGCTGTTTTCTTTTCGCCTTTTGGCATTTCGATTTGAACTTTGCTATGTGTTTCATGGAACTACTTTCATTTTCATGTTTGGTTTGTCATTTGTTTGTTGGTGTGCAACTATCGCTGGAAATGTGATCCGATTGACTAAAAGATAAAATAAAATCCTGGCACCAAATGCAAAAAACAAAAACAAATTGTAGCCGTTGGAGCAAAACTGGAACAATTTCGCGATTGTGATCTTCTTGAGCACAAAATGCACCATTTTGATCTCCTCGAACAGAAAATATGGAAGATTTACATTTACACAAGACACTAATCAAAATTTCGGCTCGGTATTGGTCGATTTCTAACTCTATGGCGGCATTGGCATTCCTCACCCTCTCCTCTACCATTGCCACCTCCAGCAACTTCATCTCCCTCTTCATTATTAATCTTATAATTAAGTAGCGTGTCAAGGCCGTCATCCGTCTGGGCAGTGATAGGGGAGTTATCAATACTACCACCTTGCGGTGGGAAGCTCATGCTAAGTTGAGCTACCTCGGACATGGATTTCGTTAACATGGGCCTAGGGCGTTTAAAGAATAAACAAATGACTGCACAATCATCAACTTTGGAACATGGGTATTTGTGTTTCCATGCCCGAACCGCCGTCTCGACTAGCATTCGTGCCGCCATTGATCTCTTCCCTGCTGAAGCAACCGTTCTAATCACCTCGTAATTGCTTAGCACATCCCACACCTATGACACAAAAGTTGATGTTTCATTTAACAGTTTCACATCTGAAATGTGTTAAATATGAATACACAATAGAAGTAATATATAAGACTTTAATTACTGTTTCAATTTAAATCTTAGAAGTGACTTGTATTCAAATTATATATATACTTACACCATCGGTAGCTAAAACAACGAATTCATCCCTCTCAGAGATCTTTCGATAGTACATCTCGGGGGAGGAGATAAGACCATAGTCTTTCAAACAAAAGTCTCCGAAGGCTCTAGCCATGGCAAGTCCTGGACAATCTTGATCAGGCATCCACACCCTATAGACATTTGGTTCTTCATCGGTTGCCATTACTCTCCCTTGACTATTTTTAATACGTTCAGATTCACCTGATTGAACAACCAAACATGAGTAAACTCACTCCCATAGTATTATTCATTCAACGGCTCTCAAATTTTACATCAACAGAACAAGAAATATGAAGCCTTACTTGGAAGGTTAGGCTTCAAGTCGACTGTCAGTTGTTCCGGAACAAGCTGATCTGTGTCATCTCTGGTGCACATTACCGCCCGAGAATCCCCGAGATTCCCTAGTATCAAATGCTCACCCTACAGTAGATCATCGGAGCATATATATGTTAAGAGTCATGTACTGGACTATAAAAAATTAAGCCTCACTCACCCCAAATAAGTCCTCATTAGATAAGCTTTATCTTAAACTTATATATTAGACATATATACTTCGTATCTCGTAATATCCGACGTGAGAACTTTAATATATCATCTTAACAAATTTTAATCTTGACGTGCGTTGGACAACTTTAATAGTCGATTCTATGTTGGCCGACCCAAACTCTTTTGGGATTAAGGCCTGCATGTGGTGATTGTTGGTTGTATAAGGATTTGGATTAGAGTAACTAGTCGGTTGTACTCATCCATAGTTGATTGTTTCAATTTGAATTGAAGTTTCTTAATACCTGCTTAATTAAAGTAACAGCCGTTGTACCACTGCAGTAGCTATCAATCCTTCCCTCACCTTCAAGTTCATTATCCATATCTCGGAAGGACTTTTGGAAGTTTGATTTCCATCTAGAAAACAATGGAGTTTCAAGAACATCTTTCTCCAAAATCTCCTCCCCGTCGGTGTCCTTTGACGCTATCGATAGCTTCGATGGTAAGCGATCACGAACGTAATGCGCGACCCTGTGACCGGATGGTCCATGTCCGTCAAACACACCACAAAAGTATGAACCTCTTTCTCCTCCAAAGTGCTGAACATCATAATATCGTGTTTGTTGTTAGTAGTATTAATCTAACTAATTACACCATCATATAACATGTACAAACAATATTTTAAGACAATATCATTATCTTTCTTTTCATTGTGTTTTTAGAATGCCTATAATCCATCGCCCATCGGAACTATAAACGCTTATAACAGGATTAATAATTATTGATGTATTTGTAGCAATCCACACATAAAATAAAATAATTAGTACCTCCCAAACCGTCATGGCATCTTGATTAATACCCTTTCTGCCTTGCTGAGAATACATGGAAACAAACCTAGAAGATCCATGGAACCTAACCCTTGCCCCAAAATCTCCCCTTCCCACAACTCCTTCATGTTCATCTTCTATCTCCCTGTCATCTGTGTTTATCACATTTCCAAGTCCATAACCATCATACCTCCTAACTCTTTGGCAGGTACAGCAAGCACCCATTTTTCCTTTTTTTTTTCTTTTTTCGTTTTATAATCATGCAAAATTCTCAAGGAAATCGAGTATATTGAAGGATATCAATCAATGCCATTCCATCCCGATCCCGACCCAATCGAGACTGCAGATTTCTCCAAGGAAATGACCTGATTTATGGGAATGTTGGCCTATGATGCAATAGGATCTTAGATTAACAAGGAAAAAGGGACAGATGTTTTTTTAGTAATTATAATTTGATATTGCAAGTGAAAAGAATGTTGACAAATCATGAATGTTGTCTCATGAGAAGAGGGAAACATTCATGATTTGTGGGATGAATAAGATAGATAATTAGAATATATATATAATAATGTGCAGGATAATCAAACTTAGAGGAGGGGTTTTGTTTGATGTTGAAGATACTTGGATGCCTAAATGGCAACACCTTCCCATCAATTTTATCCATCTTGTGTTTCTACATACTCTGTACCCCTGTTTTCTCTCCTCTCCTTTCCTTTTTCATTCTGTGTATCTCCCCCTTTTAATCTAGTTCTAAATCATAAATTTATAATGGTCACTAACTCTTTACTCCATCTTTTTAAGAATTTACTATGTATTATTTTTATCACATACAAATGGGTCTAGATTTTTTTTTAATTCATATCATTATTTTGGTTTTGTGATGCCATTATAGAAACTATTTTTAAAGAGCAAGGATATCTAAAAATATTAGCAACTAATGAGCTGAAATGTTCTAAGATAAATTTTTAGGTGCCATAAGTTTTTGTTAACTTTAACTTTTCCGTATTATATACTGTACTTCGTAAATTAATAGTAGTCCATCCATTTGTATTTCCCCTAGTTTGACTGAATTTGTTTGCAATGTGAAGCACTCCAAGTCTAGTCTACAATAATTTATCTTCATTTATCATAATCAAGCTTACTCTATTACAGTTCAGTATTATTTGCATTTTACTTGATATTGATATAATTGACTAGTATTCATAATAAATACATTGATCTTGATTTGACACTAGTATTATTCATTGTCTCAACTCCCCAAAATAAAACTTCAATCCAAACCATCCATTTAAATGTATTTTAGAGTATGACAAAAGTAAGGAAAGATTCAAAGAATGTTGCTGTTGCGGTAACATACATTGCACCCTTCAAGAGATCATTGAATGATATACCATACACCCTCCCTAAAACTATCTTGTCAAATTCACAGTATTATCTAAATGTTATCCAAAATAATTCTGAACTTTTCTATAGCCACAATTGTCATTTACAATTCACATTCATAGTCATATGACTCATATCTACTTTTGCGAGAGTTTCAATGCTTTGTTAAATAATCAGTTGACTATTCACCCCAGCATTGATGCCTTGAACTTTGGCTCATTGACTTCCACAAGGATAGGTGCTTTGGAATTAAGGACTTCCAAATTGCAGTATGGTTGAAGGTTTGGGAACCAAAAACTTTTAGACAGTAAGAGTTCAACACACAAAAAAAAGAATCAGACAATTAAACAATCAGTTCAGTTTCCTCCACAGTCTGGAATCTGGAACACAAAAACTGCATTGATAGAATTTGCAACAAGGGTCTGGCAATGATGAGATACACTGCAAATATTGGGGGAACATACATTTATTCTATGAGGTTTAGACAGCTCAACATTATGCAGATTAGGCTCCTTTTGGAGGCACTCTTTGGCTCATTCTACTTATTTTCTAAGCAGTCCTTTATTACTTATTTAGCTGAAATCAATTTTTACAAACACTTTCTAGTGATTAAAACAGATTCACCCATAGCAATGACCAAACGGGCCATTAACCAACAGAAATCCCACAAGTATACAAAAAGAACAAGCATGGAGTTCCAGTGTATCAAAGAATTGGAAACAAATTGAATTTACACTTGGTGAGCAACATCTCAACATTATTTATTTATACACCTAACAAGAGGTTGTAAAACATGGAATGGCAAATAGAAGGCATGGAACAATTTTGAGAAAATAATGGTAGTAAGATTTCTTTTGGGAAGGTCCAAGAATGGAAGAATAGATACAGATGAAATAAGAAAAGTAGCTTAAGAGAATGACTAAAACAATTTCTATCAGTAAAAGAACATATAGTTAGACTGATCACCACCATTGATGAACAAGAACTCCACTTTTTCTAAGAGAAGTGAAAAGATTCAAACACTGCCCATATGTTTTCTCATACTTGGCACTCCTCTCCCCAGGACAACATTTCTGCCACCTGTTGTAATGGCATTCAAGAAAGAGCTCATCAATGAGACAGATTGCTCCAGTCTCAATTAACCTCGGAATCAAATCAAACTCAGTCCCTTCCACATCCATCTTCATCACCACATAATCTCTTTCCGTCACTGTATTTTTCAACCATTCGGCAAAGTCAAATGCTTGTATCCGGTCAACATCGCTGGCAAAGCCCGATGATGTTTGAACTGGTTGAATTCTTCCCATTCCTCTACCTTTTACCACATCTTTGTCCCCTGGGGTTTGGTTAATCTCAAAGAAAAGGGATTCATTCCTCACCCAAGCCGCATATGGAAGCAAGACAACTCCTTTCTTGGACTTGTACCCCTCGTGGAAAGTCTTGTCGGCCTCAATGGCATAAATCTCAAAGGTTTTGTTCTGTTTGGGATATTGTTTCTTAAACCAGCTCACAATGCTCGAACCGTAGCTTCTTGATCCAACATCGACGTATATATATCTTTGCTTGAAACTGATATCCGCCATTGATGGTAAGTACTTTACGTGTTCAATGTTCTTCTTCAGAGTAATCCATGGTTTTTTCGGTTCCTCTCTAATCAAAGGCTCAGCTTTTTTAATCAATTGCAGCTTGTAATCTGGAACGGAGCATTTAGTATCTGAACTAGGGTTTGGTGAACCACGTCCAGACACTTCAGTATACTTTTGCAAAATAACTTGACGAATTGAAGGCATTTTTGAATCAAATCCAGCAATATCTATGTACTTTACCAATTTACAGCAATTGAATAAACCAATCAAAGAATTGAAACTATACGTGTCATTGGAACCTGTGTGGAGAACCAGAAACCCTTCGGGTTTCAAAGTCCTGCAAATCTCGTCGGCGAATGCCCCGGGATGAACCGAATTATCAATCATTCCGGCACTGGAAAAGACAAAATCGAAGGAGTTGTCATCAAACGGCTGCTTTGTAGCCTGACCAGACACCACCAGAGGCTTGGATGCTTTCTTGGAAACTCCGATGGAATCTGAGACTCCGATCTCTCTCAAGGCAAAAACATCGGAACCCTTCTCGGTATCCACACAAAGGGCCTTCCAATAAGGGTTCAAATACCCGTCCGCGATCAGATCTTGAAACACCGACGAGTAGAACTTCGCGGCCTTCTGGAAATCCTTGGTGGTCCAGAGATCGGGGTGCTTGGGTTTAGCCAGAGCCGATTTCCCGTCAGCCTCGCCGGTCATAACCGCCGACGACGGTTTCCCGAGCTCTTTGGCGACGGAGACGATGTTAAGATTCTCCCGCAGAGAGAAGAAGCAGAAGTTTCCGAGGTCACACGACTCGCCTCGGAGAGTGACAACATAGGCGAACCGGATACCGATGACGACAACGCAGAACAGGAACAGCCGGACGAGTACATTCCGCAACAAGCTCGGCTTCCCGGAGCTGTGATCCATATCGAACAAAGAACAAATTATCTATCACTAGGAAAATGTACTTCTATTCTGTGTCTATATATTGCTTCGATTGTTTCTGTATGAGAATATCAGAAGATGAAGAATAAAAGCTAGGGTTGGGAAAGAATATGGAAAAAGGCAGTTTATCTGGAGCAGAAGCGGGCGGCGGTGTGGTTGGCACCCAAGAGCGAGCCGTGAGAGATTGGAGAAGAGATAGGTAAATTGAAATGAAGGGTAGGGCCAAAACGGGAAAACATAATTCGGGATTCCCGAAGACGATGAGGATTGGCCGAAATTCACTCGGGCCGTGGAATGTCGGTTCTGCCAATTTCAAAAATAATCCGAGTTTTTAAAGAGAAGAACAGAAAATTGGACTGGAAGAGGAAATGCAGAAGATGGAGAAGAAGATTGGGGAAGGTCGTAGGGTTCCAGGAAGAAGACGACAGCTGGGAGTTATGTTAACCGCTTCAGTCGGTTACTGTTGGCGACGCGGTAATGGCCGAATGAAGTGGGCCCAAGGTCTTGGCCCGCGTGGGGCCCTTCTGTGTTTCTCTTTTTTGTGTTTCTTTTTTCATATTTTCGGAACCTATATGGCTATTTATCAGAGACGGTATGACCGTATGACCCTATTTATCCCCTCTGGAATCACGTTGATTAAAAATATTCTTTATTATTTTGAAAATTTAAAAGAATACTTCTTCAGTTCTTCTAAATCTGTAATCCGTGTAGTTAAGCCTGAGATTTTAGAATAGGGAACCGAAAAAATGACCGAAACCGAACCGATATAACCTGGCTCGGTTCTTTCCACCGAACCGAACCGATATAACCCGGTTTGGTTCGGTTCCTATTTTTGGTTCTCGGTTTGTTATAAATATTTGATCAACTAGTAGCTAGTGGGTTATCTTTGTATCCCACTCATCCGTTTTTACAGCCTTTAGCCCAAAACAACGTTTAGCCCTCTTAGGTCTTCACAATTATGTCTTCTATTGACTAATTTGAGGGTTATTGTTTTAATGAGTTTATAGTAGATCAAATGGATACAAGTTCTGCCCAGTCGAATGCAGTTCAATCATTTGAGCCACCGAAGGTAAGTTCAAAGAATTGGAAGATGCCTAGGGTTAAAATTGATGCAGAAATGAGATCATGTGTATGGGCACACTGTGACACAGAAATTAAGCTTTTGATGAAAGAAAATGAAAATGGAGTAGAGGTACACACTCAAATATTTACTTTGGATCTACTCAAATTGCTTTGGATTTAACCAAAAGTGGGACTAGCAAACTAGGAAGCATTTAGATCAACACATAAACTAGCATGTAAGTATATATTCAAATAAAAGGGAACATATTGTTGTGACTCTTATTATTGTCTACTTAATGTTAATTTACAACAATTCTTTCAGGTTTGAGTTGCTTGAAGGCTGAAGCTGGACATTAATTCCTGTTACATTGGGCATCTACACCATTGTTTCTCCATAAGAACAGTATTAGGATATTATAATTATGTATGGAACAAACTGGTCTTTTTTTTACTAATCTGGACTTTTTGTTAAGTTTTCAATTTGTAACATTTGAACATTGATGTTTCATATCATTGTAATGCCAAACTTATGTATTACTAAAAGATTATTGTATTCCAAGGAACCGATAAAATGCAAGAACCGAACCGTTAAGATATGATTCGGTTCCTTAATGGTTCTACATAATCGAACCGGTCCCCGCCCTACGTGTAGTTGGCGTATACCGAGTAAGAAAGATGATACCACCTCAAACATTCTGTGTGAATTGCGCGTGGAAATATTATTATTCGTTTTTTAGTCACGGACGTAGTCACGGATTTGTTACGTAATACCATACATAATACCGTTGCGAAATAAATTTTGAGCGCTGGAAAATTAATTTTTTTTGTAGTCACGGACTTAGTCACGGACCTATCCGTGACTAAAGTGCCGGAATAAAAACGGGCACGCCGGCAACGGAGTTGGGGCTACCGGAGGACTTTAGTCACGGTCGCAGTCACGGACGTAGTCACGGACATATCCGTGACTAAATTTTTTTTAAGCCTGTGACTAGTCTGTGACTAAGCTAGTCACGGACAAAATCCGTGACTAACGTCCGTGACTACAGGCGTGTTTTTTTGTATTGCTTACGTCCCTTAAAACTTTGTCATTTTTTTTAGACGTTCAAAAAACTTTGTAACATTCCCTTTTAATCAATCATTTTATGGTTTCACTTATTTCTCTTTCCGCTGCGCAAATCTTAACCACACAATTTTTACCTTATTATTCTCCGTGCTAGTCAACTTTGGCAAAGTTTTAAGAAACGGAGGAAGTATAATATATAGTGTCTCATTTTCTTATAATTAAATCTTAGAATGTTTTTATTTGAACTGTTTTCAGTTCCAGACCAGACTAGTTCAGACTAGAGTTTTATAGTTATAAAAATAAAAATATACAGAGAATAAATCAGACCTAATCAGATCAGACCAGCAAATTTTAGTTCATGTAAAAACATTTTTAATTACAACTTTTACTTTTTTCAATCACTTTATTAATAATTGTATCAAATCAAAATATGACGCGTAAAATGTGATAGAAGTTCTACTAGTCTACTACCACTCTACCCGTCTATCCTTTGTCTCTTCTTTTTAGCAACATATATACTTCTATACTATCCACATGTTTTAATTGTATTATATTTATTAATAAATGTGAATTATTCTTTTCAAAATATTATTATTGAATTCTCCTCATTACAAATTTTCATGACTAAATTTTAGAATTTTTTTACTAATAGAGAATTAAATATAATTACGTGAATTGATAAGCGTGAAAAGACAAGTGTGTCGATAAAATAAGAACTGATGAAGCTTCCTCATTGTCATTGCACACATTACATTTTCTATTTCTATGTACGTGGTACTCCATATTATTTATTAGATAATGGTGAAATGAATTTACATACACCCTCCATCCTTTTTCACTGATCAAGATGCACCGCACTAAAGAAAAAAAGTCTATCGAGAATAACATTTATCTAACTCAAAAAACAAGTCAAACCCTAAAGAGCGTGATGAAAAAGTAAACAAGAGAAAAAAGGGGGAATGATGTGTTAACCATTTGTTTTATATACAAATAAAACATTTTATTAATCTTTAAATCAATCAGACAATAATACCGTCATTGCAAGCTTCTTTTCTTACGCATTCAGCATGCTTCCCAAAGTTCCCATTAGGAATGTCTTTTGACATGCTTGGCAAATGTTGAATAAAGAAAAATACTCGCACGGGTAGCTCAGTTTGTTGAGTGGTGGGAACTTGGATCAAGAAACTCTAGTTTGAGTCCCTGTAGCGATCGTGTAGAGGCCACAGCTATTGAAATATGTTGGACCTCTAGCGCGCACAAGCATACACTAGTAAAAAATGGCTTATAGTGACACTAAATTAGTGTCACTAAACGATTTAGTGACACACTCAAAGTGTCACAGAAAAACGGGGCAAGTGACACAAAATTTAGTGTCACTGATTGCTAAACAGATTAGTGTCACAAAATTATGACAATAAAATATCACATAAAGTTATGACGTTATAATATCAAAACTTTTTTTGACACTCTAGTATCATAAACATATATGATACATTAGTATCATAAGTCTCTCTCTCTCTCTATATATATATATATTCTACATATATCATACTAAATGTTTTATTAACAATGAATAATCAAAACATCAAACAAATATTTTCATTAAATTTAAAACACCATTCCTTACAATTGTAAATGTACATAATTTCAAATGATATACCCTAAAACTAAAGAAGTAAAAATGAGAAGTCAAACGACGGCAAAAATAATTACAAGAGAGTGTTTATACACAAATACTACAAGGCGAACAAAAAGGCCAAAAGATCAAGAATGTTGCAATCATCTTCGTAACTCTAATTCTTGTTCTCCCTAACCTGCACATAAAAACTAGAGTTCAATAGACCACATATTAGAGCGAACATGTACAGAAGAAAAGGTCTACCAAAGGGAGAATTACAAAATGCTAAAACTTTTATTCCTCTTATAAAATTATTAAAGATGGATTACCAATTTATGAGATCTCCTGTAACCAAACACTTTATATGTTGGTATCCACCGTAACTATGCCAAATCATAAGCAATACAAAAAAGGTTCATAGTTCAATTGGTATAAAGGCTGAAAATAGTTCATACCTGCTTATAGAAGGTGAACTTTTATGAAGAAGATGTTAAACAAAACAAAAGAAGCTAGCCCCTTCATTGAGTTCCATTATTCATAATTCTGCACATTCACACACACCAAAGTTCACTTAATTATATTTTTTTTAATAAGAATGAATACACTATTGTGGATCGTTGCGCTTACCGCTACACTAAAAGCAATCGCTGATAGTGTAGCACGCCCTTCTCCCTTTTATAGAACAGGCAAAGCGCCACGCGGTTCGATTGCACCGGCAGGCTGGCAGATTGCTGACCGCAGACCCGCGGCAGGCCCAACAATCTCCCCCCCAGCACCTGCCAGCCTACAACTGAGCAGCATGTTGTTGCCGGGGGTCGAACCCGTGACCTTTGGCTCTGATACCAATTGTGGATCGTTGCGCTTACCGCTACACTAAAAGCAATCGCTGATAGTGTAGCACGCCCTTCTCCCTTTTATAGAACAGGCAAAGCGCCACGCGGTTCGATTGCACCGGCAGGCTGGCAGATTGCTGACCGCAGACCCGCGGCAGGCCCAACAACTATCCATTATTTGATGACTTGGAATACAGTTACAGTGAAAAGAACTTCAGATGGGGCTACATTTTTATTTTCCTATTAATTTATCTTATGTTTCATCAAAAACATTAACGTAGCTGAATTTCAACCAATTCTTGTCCTTGCAATATTTCGTGAAATAATACTAGCCAATACCCACTACTGTCATCAGCCAGCTCACCGGAAACACAATCTTGGTTGCTATGACCATAATATAAATCAAGAAGACAGATGGGATCAAGCACATCACCACCAAACCAGGTAGATTCAATGGCACTTTGTTAAGTTGTTTTCATCAAAGGTAATTTTCTCCTCAGACATATGAAGGATGCAAATTCTAGTGACATTCACGGACTGTACAAAAAAAATTGTTGTTTATGTAAGACATTTACCAAGAATGAATAACTTACAAACTTTTACAATATCTTTTCACTATTTCTGTTAGAAGTGTGCTCACCACCAAGTTTTCAGGAATCTTAACCAGTTTGAGCAAGGTTTGCTTGGTTTGGTCTTCTAGTTTCTACAAAAGAAAGAATAAGAATTGGAAATATGACATAACATATCAAGCCAAACTAGTCACTGGAAATGTGGACCTTGTTCGCGTCGCTGAGTTGATGGACTGCAAGTACAAGTATGGACTGTAATTGCTCCTGAAATACTAAAGAATAAGACAATTGATAGCTTATAAGTCAAATAAGATAGCAATTTCATGAAGGTTCAAGAAAGGAATAAGTATTTAACAATTCAAAACAAAAGTTTAAATACCCATCAATAAGATCACAAACAAGTAATACATAAATCAATGTATCAATACAAAAGCTCATGCAATTAAATATGGAGTACTGAGTA